TTTAAATTTTGTGCAAGAAATAAGGTGCAATTTCATGCAACGAAGGAAAGCTGGCTTTTTACCTTACTTTACCACAATCAAAGCAGCGTTTAAAAGCTGCTTCGCTCTTCTCCTGCTTCCTTTTCATGGAGCGTATCTTCGCTATTTTTAGATAAATATTTACTTTATGTCCTGTTAATTATTGGATATAAAAATCAAAGAATCTATAGACAATAGCAAAGCAATCTGTAATATTGTAAAATTTAAATAAACAATAATTAAGGGGATGGGTGGAATAAAGGCCTAATTGTAAAATCTTGATATTAATAAAAATTAAAATAACTTGCTACTTTTTTATTATACACAAATGAGTACGGTATTGAATGAATTTATGTAATGTCTTTAAGAAGTTACATGTTACAATACTTTTCTGTTACGATCAATATTACATGAAAAAGCTAATTGCTAGAAAAAGGGCCGAAGTAGAATTGTGCCTTTATTCCGTCCTCAATTTTATCAGTATTTATATGCGATACTGACAGATCTGTGCTAAATCGGTTCAGTCGTGTGAAGACCCCTTTAAAAAGTGGTATCTACTCTTGGCGAAATAAGTTTACACCGTCAAGCATTAGATTTCGTGAGAAACCTCATCAAGCATTACCGTGAAGAATAAAATGAAATCTTATTTTTTCGTAGAAATCTTAGTTTACGAAAGTCCTGCACTAGGTGTTTGGAAAATTCTTATCTTCCTATGGATGCTTTACAGTGTGCACGGTGTAAAATATATTATTGGGCAAGCATCAAATGCATTAAATGATTCCTTTTTTTTTTGCTAAAGTACAGTTAACGTACAATGATAGACAACGCAGTATCAGGATGAGAGATTTTTATTATCGTGCGCATCAAGCATGCAGAGAGTAGCGAGCTTACAATCAAGCCGATCGTTAATACATATTCGAGGCAATGACCGTGTAAAATGAAATCGTTTTTTCATAAAACGGGACACTTGAAACCGTTTTCAGTTTCTTGCTTGAATTAGCGGAAGCCACGCAGTCGGAGTAATATTCATTAAACGTATTATTAACTGACATTCGTTTTCATCATACTTTATCTCCATCTCGAATTAATAGCCGGTTTCTCGTATAGTTTGTATCAGTCACGTGCTTGTATCACTCAAGCGGTTTAACCCATCCTCCAATTCTTGCGTGTGAAATTACCGTTTCTCGCTTTGCACGTCTAGCGTTAGTTTTCTTACGAATAAAACGCATTTCGCATTATGGTAGACAGCTTACGACATCCTCATCTATTGAACTAACGGCCCATATGGTGTTCGTATGTGCGAGGAGGAGGAAAAAAAATAATTACGCACGCATGTGCGCGTTACGTGATCACGTTCGTCAGTCGTAGTACAAACACGTATGACGAACAAGTAACTTTTACCTGAACATTATAATACGCGATTATGCGATCATCCTTACTGATATCACGGTATAAATCACGGTATCGTGCGAGCCGTACCGTCGTCCTCGCGAAGTTAAATTGGTGTCTTCGGCACGGCATTTTTATTCATAAATCCGCTCGTCATTCTAAACCGAGCTAGATTCAATTAAGTCGATTTTATTTGATAAGTTATACAATACGTTGCATCATTAGAATGCCTTTTCATCAGATGACTGACTGCGTTAACATAAAAATGATGTTCGTAAATTAATTAGTGTAATTAACGTGAGGTATGAGTTAAGAAAAATTTTGAGCGGTGAAAATTCATTTATGTATTGCTACTCTTTGCATCTTAACACGTAATAATTATTTTGAAATATTGTATGAAATTATGTGTATGAATTATATGTACATTTTTGTTTTCGATAATAACAATCAGATAATCTGTAGATATTGAAAATTATGTCAACTCTCTTAAAAAAATTGTTATTAACATTATTTTTTAAATAATAATTTTTTTCAATAGCTGATGATGAAAATTATTCTATTCATACTTGGACAAAAATGATTAAATGGAGAGTATGAAAAATAAGAGAATATTAAAAGAAATTGTGATAAGCACTAATTCTATAGAATTGAATTATTAAACTCCAAAGATATTACAGTACAAATACAGCCAAAAAGTCTCTCTTCTAAATTCTTTCAACTATGTCAAATGAAATAAACAAAATTCTCTTAATATTTTACTTTAAATGAAAGTATCCATCTTAATAATTAATTAAAACAAATACAGATAAAGAAAGTAGGAAAATATATGAACAAATAATAGAAGATATAAATATAATATAAGAAGATATAAATATAATACGTTGCAGAGTTAATCCTTTTTATTCTTCTTTTTATTTTTTTATTGCTTATCATTTAAATTTACGAATGTAGTTATTTTTACATAGAATACAGATAACAGATAGAAAGTAGAAATTAAAAAAATAATTTCATCGCTAAGGCACTGATACAATTTAAAAAAATGATTTTGTTGCAATTTCTATAGATTATTTACTGTATTATGTGATTATTTTTTTTTATTATCAAAGAAATAATCACATCCAATTGCCATGACTAATTTTATTGATTAAAATTTCCCTTCTTCGCAGCTCGATGTGAAAATTATTGTCGTCAGCGAATTATTTTCGATGCAAACGCGTTTGGCTCGCGTTCCTCGCGCGTAACTGCGTATGCATTCCGATCATGCAGCGATGTGCAGCGGAACTCGGAATTAATGGAGAGTAGGTGCTTTGTCGTGGTACTTCGACCTTGCACGGTCTTGTCTTTTAATTACACTAAAGGTGGTACTGGCGGCACCACCTTTATGCGTCGATTCAATTACACCCACCGTCCTTCGAATACGACGTTCGTGATCGCGACAAACACGATTACGGATTACCACGCCTTGCTCACTCGTTTGTTGTCTCGTTACACAAAGTCGCAGAACCATGTTCAGCCGTGACACTGTTAGGATGTATACACTACTTCTTACTATATATAGTATATAATTATCGACGCAAAACTTGTTTGGAGTGAAGTCGTTTCTGGCATATTAATTTCCGAATGGTGCCAATTCTGGCTTGGGAATCCCGAAGACGTGGCGAACGCTCGCTGATCAACGTCTTGCGATATTAGAAATTCGGTATCGTCATTAGGACTTTCTCAGGTGTAATTACGGACTTGCATTAAACCTGCCGGAACACACACACGTTTCCAGAAAGTAAAAGTCTCACGTTCGATCTATACATCAATTTGCGAATCCGCCTTTCGTATATAATCGATAATAGAATCTTGAAACAAGACGCTTTGATTATTATATTATTTAACAAGTGAGAATATCTCCTATCGATGATAATAATTTTCATCTCAAGTTATAATTATCCTGCGGAAGTAAACTGTAAAATATCAGAGGAAATTTCGGATTAAAGATCGTTTTTCGAATTTATAGAATCAATTTGTTGGTATACTTTTCATACATATGTAATAACAGGATTTCAAGTTTTAATTGTAGCATTTGCCAATGCTACAAATTTGCCAATGAACTTCTTACTCATTTCTAAAAATAAGATCTTGATAATAGTGCTAACAGTTTTTCTCAGTGGCATCAATATACGTCTTATCTATCTTTGTTATCTCGACAAGGAGATAATAACAATTGTCTTTTACTTACTATTATACGAATACGAATGTTTACGAATGCTGTACTTTAATTGTATTTTTTTGCCAAGAAGTTACCGTGTGAATGACAAAAAGCTTGAACAAGATCCGTCACTTGTGCGACGTATCATTCAGGAAGACTACATCATCGATGTCGAAAGTACGAATTGTCGAAACACAGTTCGAGGAAAACAGTCACCCATTGGAGAGTCACTGGGTGGTTCCGTGATGCGAGCGTTTGTGTAATGCATTTATAAATATTGAGAGAGAGAGAGAGAGAGAGAGAGAGAGAGAGAGAGAGAGAGAGAAAGAGACGATAGCTATATACAGTGAGAGCAAAAAGTCGTACAAGGAAATTTGTTATAAAAAAAGTCTTATTTGTAGAAAATAAACATTAATTAGCAATTTTATACAATGAATATATTCTATTCTAACACAAACAAATGAGCTTCGCATGTATTCCTGATTTTAAAAGCCAAATTTCTCGACTGTACGAATACTTTTTGAGCATTCAAACAATACAATTTTTAATTTTCGCTTATTTTTTAGATGATATATTTTTTATAATTAATACACATCTTTTTGGTATATATAATTTTAAGAAACATACAGCCTATTTTATTCTTTATGAATAAATTGTTAATTACCCAACAAGAAATGATCGTCGATCAAACGTCGAATCGACATCAAATTGATGTTGAAATCATTGTATCGATTTAATATCAATTCGATGACTCATTTCTAGCTGGATAATATTAACTTTTTTAAAAATAAAGTTATTTAAAAAAATATTTTCTCTGTACGAATGCTTTTTGCGCTCACTGTATATACCATTCTATTTTAGCGGTATATTTTTGTCGTCTACCATCAAACTGCCGGTAGACTAGTGCCTATGGTAAGTGTTATACAATTAGACAGATGAGTAATCTCATCGAAATCACTTATATATAATACATAAATTAATTAAAATCTCGATAAGTAAAGAAAACATGATGTCGTTGCACGACCACATGCTTATGTAATAAGACAAGATAAAGTGAAATTATTCTTTTCATTTTCCCGCGAATGTCACTCAACATCCTTGCAACAGACCTGAACTTATTATGTATGTGCGCTGTATAATTTTAAATAAGCACATAGTGCAGTGGCAGCGTTCTTCTCTGAAAGAGCTTCTCACGCAAAAATCTTACGTCGATGCGAGTCACGCATTTACGTACATATATCCACGCAGTGCAATTTGCAGAACGCCAGCAGTTGTTGCGGAATGTCTTCAAGGAGAGACACCCGTGTATTCTTAGCGACATTACGTGCATCGTGCATTACTTATGGCACGCGCCGTTTACTCAACAGTAAGTAAAATGTCCTTCTCCAGTACTCACCGTCAAGCGTGGTATCGTGGGTCATCCGTGTCGTCTTGATGCTTCTGCGAGATCTCCTGGATCGTTGTTTCCTAACATTCCGCGACCATCGTTGAGCAAGCTTCTTCTTGCCCGATGTGATTTGTCCTTCAGTTCCTTTTCCGCTGAAATTTTAGGTTTACATGTATTCGTTGCAATCATATCGAATATCTAGTTATAACGGCATTCAATAGTTTTAAGTCTTATTGGGTGCGTTCCGCTCGCAACGCTCATGGAATCATTTCATTCTTGTTGTTTATCAAACGTTAAACAAAGACAAATGATGCTTGCCACCGTTGTGAGCACCAAATGTAACGCATCCATTGTCTTTGTCAGCGCTATGATTATCTAAGATTCGATAACGTCGTATTAATCATGGTAAAAAGCTTATTCATTCCCAGACGGAATGCGGTGATAACGATATTTAACATGATGTCGTTTCACGCCGTGTTATCATATAATGCTATCGTGACGACGTTCTCCATATTGTGTTTTTGAAACACTTGCGACGAACGATTCGCCACGTGTGTATATTAACCTCGTGGGTCTAATAATGATTAATCGCCTTTAACCGAGGTGAAGGCAATTAGCCATGCTGTTTTCAATTCCGCACTGTTATCGCTGTAACGAAGTCGCGAAAAAAATGTGTGTACCTTCGAAGCCTTATCGCGCGTGCCGAGCGAATTCCTTTCGCGATGGTATACCTGCTTGGCATGTGCTCTAGACAGGGAAATTAGACAGGGAAAGCCTGCAAGCAGCTTATTTTTTTAAAGATGTGTTAATCCTTAACTCATGTCGTGGGTCTATGTGTCATAGAGCCCATATTAAATTTTACTTAACAGAAAATTTATTATCCATATCAATATTATTAAGGGAGGAGCATGAAAGTCTACGCAAGTTCTTATAGCAAAAACAATTTTAATAACAAAAATTATTAAATAAGTTGATGGTACAAAGAATTGTTTTCGCCATAAGAACCTGTGTAAGTTTTCATGTTCCTTCCTTGATACATAATATTGATTTATTCTCAAAACCTTTGTTTGTTAATTATATGTTTATTAATTATACTTTAAATAAGAATCAAATTATTGATTATAAATTCCTGTTAGTTTTGATTAAAAATAGGTAAATGAGGATCTAGTGGATCCACGACGTTAGAATTAAGTGTAACATTTTTTCACGGCACTTAAGTTAAGGGTTAAAGGCTCGTTTGCGTATTCATGCTATGAGTACGCAATGCAATAATAATTCGGACGTTACATTTCGCGATGTCTTTAACATGGTTTTCGCAATCAAGTGTCGCGGTATCTCGTCTTTTATCGTTCATGAAAGATGAATTATTGTTCGCGTTTTTGTTTCCCACTTTTGCTGATCCTGAAGTTTTCCCACCGTTTTCTCATTCCCACGCTTACTTACCGCGGATCATTGGTCTGACAAGGGCAGTGTGAGGCGCACGAGGCTTCTTCCAGGTCCTCCCACTCAGATTCCTTGCCGTTCACCGAGATCGATCCTAAGACAGAGCCGGGTGTGGAGCCGGCATAAAGGCTATTGACACGTTCCTCACCGGGCAGACCGACATCGTCATATACATCCAACTCGTCCCGTTCCTCCTCATTCAGATGACTTTCGCAGTCCACGCTGGAATATTCATTGTTTGTCGTTGAGAAATACCGATCATCGTTCGCTGTTGGAGCGAAACGCGACATTTCCACCGCGTGACTCTCGGACGTTGCTCGCAATTCCACGGACAGCTCTTTGAACGATGTTTCGTCGTTGGTTTCCGGTATCAGATAATCGCTCTCGTCGATGGTTTTCAAATTATTTTGCTGTAAGTTAAGCGGCATCACATCGTCGTAAATCTCCTCGCAGTCCTTATTAGCATCGGGCGCTTCAACGTCGAGATAAGTGGTTGGTGGACCCACGTCGTCGTAGTCGGATTCCTGATAAGAAATTCATCATCATGCATTCTTTTTGTAATTTGAAGAAATAAGCGACGTTGCGCAGATGGATACACGTATCGACACGTATCGACACCGTCGCGAATTTTTGATGCGAAAAAGAGGGCGCGTGTGGCTCTGAAAGCGAAATTTGAGAAGTGAATTGAATTACACATCGTTTGTGATACCCTATTTCCGCCATTAATTTGTAAGCGATGCGAATCGATTATTCGACATTCCTTTTCACCTTCGCTGACGGTTACCAATTTAATGCACTACGTGATTTAGCAATCGGGCGAAAGCTAAGCTCGCGCGTTGATGTTGTTTCTTTAAAAAAAATGCATAATATTACCTAATAATTATTATTAAGTTAAAATCTTTTTTCCCGATAAATTAGTTGAATTATAATAAGTTAGTCAAATTCGTGTGTATACACAAATATAAAAAAGTTTTAAAAGAGATCAAGGAACGAGCAATCAAAATTTTTAAAATTAGATGTTAATTTATTATATTATTCTAGGCTTTTACTTGAATTAATTTGTAAATTTACTACTTAAGATATTTTCTTGACTCTAACATTTTTTTATATCAATTTTTCATGCAAATGTAATGGCTTTTATAATAATAAAATAAATAGGATTATTTGAAATTGTTGAAAAAATTGAACTTCCATAGCTGTTGTACGGAAAATTTATCACTTCAAAATGTTCACACATCGTTGCTCACACAGGATTACGTTGTTCACAGAAATTATTTTCCATTCGAGATTTGCGATAACGGAATCTCCATGCATACAATAATTCGTACCATTTGAGTGACGAAGTTCGACGGTCCGATGTCATCGTATTCCTCGCTATCGGTGTTCTCACCGTTTTCATTTGGGACATGGCATGTAGCGATCGCGACAGGTTTGTCATTTGGAAAAGTCGTTTTTGTCCCGTGATTGCTCCATAGAAAGCTACAGTTGGCCTGTGGCATTGCCGCAGGGGAAGATTCGCAGACCGGCTCGTACGTTTCTTCCGGTGAATCGGCCTGATTCCTAGCGATTTTCACCATCTGGCTGGACTCCAAAACTTTCGCCGCCTGTAAGTCCCTCGAGAAGTCACTCTGTATCTCCGCATATTTCGTTCGATCACTCTTATCTGCAAAGGTTTCCGTCATCAGAATTTTATTTCATGAGAGAATTTTTTTTAATTATTTTGTTAAACAAAAAAATTAAAAAAATTTTTTTTCTTCACAACATTTTTTGAAGTACTCTTGAAACCGTACAACTTTTGTTAAAAAAATTTTTTTCTATCTTTTGTACTTCCGACGATATTCGCCTCGAAAGAAAAATACCGTTTTTCTTCAAAGGGGTGTTTCATCCCTTAAATATGAGTTAGGGCACATATAAAAAAATACGTGTTTCTTAGATTTTCAACATATTTCATGGAGAATCAAATCGGTTCCGGATAGTTGTGAAATTTCCCTTGTGAGTTACAAACAATTTTATAATTCAATAATTCGAAATTATACTAGCTGAATTTACATTATAAACTGAATAGTAAAACCGATTTCATTCATTCAGCTAATACTTGCTATCAATATTCCATATCTCATTGATTGTTTGTAAATACTTTCATAAAATCTATGAATCAGTTTGTAACGAGAATTATTGAGATATAAAATTGTCTGAATGTAGCTTGGAAACAAAGTCAAAGAAGATCAATATTTATTCAAACGTTCTTTTATCATTCTTATGTTTACTTTAAGTTTTTTATCATTCAATTGATTTTTGAAGGTAGACCCACATGTTTTGAAATATGTCCTCTATTTGTCTGTTTTTTTTTTAATTATGCTGTTTACGAATTTTATTGCAGTGGCTTCCTCGTAGAAATGTGAAATATAATTATATTATACATACATAAATATATGTATACACACACATGTATATAATTTTTTAACAAAACATGCAATTAATATTTTTATAGAATTTTTGAAACACAATTGATAATTAATTGATATCTGCATTTAAACGCAGTATTAAAATCTTTGAATAAAAATGAGACAATGTAATTAATTATAAAATAATATTAATAATTATTCTTTTATGATACTCTTCACTTTTAATATTGTTATAATAACTATTAATTTTATTATTGGAGATGGAATTATTATATTATACATTTGCTCAATGTCCTCAATTATCCGATTCGACGGCAATACATGTGTATATAGATTCAAAGCACAATTGCGCAAATCAAGCCGCACTTAAGCAAGGCGATATTTACATAAATTCTTTCACGATTATCAAACTCGAAGAGAAAGAAATCTAACGATGTGATTCAAGAGAACGTACCCGCGATGTTATCAACGGCTGATTGACTTTGCCCGGTTTGCCTGGAAATTATATCGCCCGCAGGAGACATTCTTGCGGCGACCTTGAGCTGCTCGATGTTTCTATTCTTGCATTGCTCGTTCTTTCTAACAAGTAGAGGCAACGTAGCGCATATCTGCTGATGAGTAATTACGATCTGCTCCAGATCCAATCCAAGAGAATTCTGAACCAGACTGGGATTCGTAGCAGATGCCACGTGAACAAAGTTCGTAGGCGATGAGATGATCATGCTCCTCAACTCGTCTCTCGACAGGCTTCTAGTCTTGGCGTATGAATCCGAAATGTTCGAGAAAGGTGCCGTTTGCAACGATCTCAAGGAACCCAGTGAACTGCTCAGAGCGTGTTTCTTTTTCAGCTTTTTCTTTTTCTTCGGCTGTTTCACTAGGTGCCTCGGTACGTAGTGCAGCATGTTTCTAGTGAAGCGTCTCTTCTTTTTCTTCTTGTGCCATGACGACATGTCGTCATTCTCGTCACTCGTGATTGATTCCGCGTCTTGCTTCGAGTATTCTACGAAAGAGTTCTCATACGTGGCCTCTTTTGTTGCTAGATCGTTTATGGATTGTGATTTTGTGACTGTCTTCGAAGGTATTGGAGAATTTTTCTCGATCTTATAAATATGTGCAATTGATTCGGAAACTGTCTTTTCTGAGACTTCAAGATCGTGCGTGGACGCCTTGTAGTCTGTTATACTAATTTTTTCGTAGTCGCTGGATGCATCAGAGCCTCTTCTTTCGACTGAGCATTTTTCTTTCTCACATTGATTTTCAGTAAGATTAGAATCATCGCGAGAATTCGTCTCCGTTTGTGTATGTATTGAATCGCCATTGTCGCTTTGAAAGTTCTTAATGTGAGATTCTTCTTTCGTAGATGGCCTTGTAGAAAATTGACTTTCTACAGTATTTTCTACACTTGCCGTATTTATTGATGTCTGAATTTCCTTTCCGGGAGTATTCTCAATATTGCATTCGGTTCCGGAATCTAGTATTCCGGTGGCACGAGTCGTTGACTGGTTCTCCGTTTTCGTAGAAGAGAAGGCCTGCAGGCACTTGGAGTAACTTTTCCATTGATGACTAGCTCCGGATTTCACCTAATGACGAAACGGGCATAATTAAATGGATGACTAATTGAATCGGTGTAAGCATCTCAAGAGAGAAAGTTTTAAAAAAATTAGGAAAAATTTTATTTTATGATAATAATTAAAATACGAATATATTCTTATGTAACTGAGTTTCTATTATGTCCCGCATAGAAATTTTCCAAAATCTTCCCAATTACAGCATAGATTACAATCAGAATGTCCAATTTTCCTAAATTGGTATATCGCGTGTGATTCCAATTGGGAAATCTATTTTTATCCCAATTTAGGGTTTTATGTTTAGAATCGAAATAGAGTATATAAGAATTCGATTTATGATAGTTACCATGGTAATTACAATGTGATGTGATAAACTTCAATTCTATAGATTTCTGTCAGTTCATAACATATAATTTATAATATTGTGTGACCAACTCAATATTGTGTTATTCATAACATATATATTAATATTGTTACCAATTGAGCAAGTATTAATTTTATAAATTCTATAATTAGTATAAGTAGTCAAAAATTTATATCTTAAAAAAAATTCTTTTAGAATTATTATTTAAATGTTACTATTATAAGTGTTAAATAACGCTGATTGTTAAATAGTAATAAATAATATTAATAATAATTTATAATGAAAATAATTTCATTTAATCTGTTTATAGATATTGATCTGTTTAGATTTTCAAATTGGGATCTGTTTGGATTTTCTATTTAGAATCGCGTTTACAAAACATTACATTTCTGATTGGAATCTTCATAGATTTCCCAAATAGAATTTATGATTTTGGGGGGAAATCGAGTCAGATCCCAATTAGACTCCAAAACATTTTCTATGCGGGGTGTTTTTAAAATATAATGCAATGCTTTTCTAAAACGAAATTTATTATATTTATAATTATAATTATAATATTAAATTATAATCACAGAATTCGATAAAAAATAGAGTTCGTTAGAACGAACAGAGATAACTTTTTTCGTAATAAAATATTTCATTTTATTGCGATAAAGGTGCGATATTCATCATGTCTAAAGTGAAATTTTGCGGTTTTACGAATAACAATACGTCAATCGTAAACCATAATTTTTCCTGTTGATCGTATTTCGTATTCTCGTCAAATCGGTGTAATGTCGGTGTTACAAGGAAAATTGTCCCGCAATAAAAAAAACCTTATCGTGCGATAAAAATAGCTCGATGTACGTCGTCTTGGAAAAGTTTTATTTTAGTCACAGATTAATTTTTCGGATGGAACTGCGTTTCTTTGCCTAACGGTAATAAAAATGCATATAGTGAAGGCTCGAAGTGTTCCATCTTCGTGATTGTTATCTGAAGTGGTAAGCTAGCATCGTAAAAGCTAACAAGCCACTCCTTCGACTATTAGCATCCTTTTGCTCGTGTATCCGCATGTGCGTATTTCGTGCGTATTCTCACGTATGTACATATAAGAGAAAACACATGGTTTCTTTTCTCGCAGGGAGCTATATGTAAACTCTTGTTTTTAAATACGTATCTGGATTATGCGTGAGAGAATAATCGTGTCTCTTTAAACCTTCAAAAATTTTTAAAAATCCATCTTTCATTCCAATCCTATTAAACTGTATAAATTAACAAACACTAGCTTTAGAAAATTAATTTTTTTGCTTTTCTGATGTCATTAAATCTCTAAGGCCCCGTTCTACCAATATAGTTTAATTTTAATCTCGGTTTAACTAACTCTTCATCTTTTTCCAGTTCTGAGAATTAGAAAAAGATAAAGAGTAAGTTGAACTAAGATTAAAGTTAATCTACATTGGTAGAAACGGGCCTAAGACATTTATGAAATCATTTTGGACTTAAAAAACTCTATTATCTTAATTTTTTTCTCATTTGCAATAAAACATATATTTATTAAAAATTTTAAACCTATTTACATTAAATAGTGTCGCAGCAAAAAAAAAAAAGTTCCAGAATTTATAGATTTTTGAATTTTTTTTAGAACAAAAAATGCATTTCAAGGTCTTTTAATGAGAACAAGAGCACATGACATACAATATCCTCTGTTTAAGAAAAACAATTTAAATTGTGTTATACTCATATACACGCAATTACATGTCAAGGACTTTCCATAAACAACATAACAATCGACTGACACTTCGTTTATCACTTTTACCTTAAAAATTTACAACGTAATTCCAAATATGTACATCAATATTGACATACCTTATAAGATGGTCGCTTAACTGAAGTTTTTCCATTGACGATTTTTTTTTCTTTCTTGTCCGACTTATCTACAACATTGTCGCTCTCCACAGGAAGCAATTGCAAGGGCAATCTCGTTCGTTTCAGAGCTAAGCTATCGAGAGTGGCGTAAACGACCTTGTTAGAAATTAGAGCAGCCTTGCCGTTTCCGTGCAAGAAACTCCGATTGGCAGTGGGTGAAGGGCTCATCTCGTCCCTTTTTTAAGGGCTCGATCAGTTGCGATTCACTCTAGTCTCATAGAAACAACACTTCACACGTTGTTGTTCAATGTTTTTATTTATATATTCATATTTTTTTCTTCAATCTGAAATTTTGGAGAAAGATTCCCAATTGTAGCAAGATGGTTTATTTTATCTTTCATATTACTTATACAGATTGAAAATTTAAATAAAAATAAAGTTTCATTTTATTTCATACTATTTTTTCTACGATGTTTATATTTTTAGGGAAATGTTTATATTATTATTTAAAGATTCACATCGAAAAATAATATTAATCTTATTTTCCATATATATATATATATACTTTTTATTTTCTGAATTCAGAAAGTGTAAACATTTTTTTATATTATTTTCTGCAACATTTTTTCCTAATTTTTATATTTTATATTTTTGGTCTCAATTAAATCTAACTCAAAATGTGCTTTACAGTTCATACTGTTCTATTCGCAACAGACTAGCTCAAACTGTGCTTTACGGTTTATACCGTTTATACTGTTATATTCGCAACAGATATTGATGAGTTCGCGTTTCTTGCAATGTTATGTGTCCCCGGATTGCAGCACAATAGTAATCATATAATTCAAAAACACAGAAAGAAGAATCATCGCTACAAACCGTAATCTGGCACGAAAAAGATATAAATAACCATACGTTCAAATGTTTTCCGCGAAAATGCTGATAACGCCGCATTCATATGTGTTCCCTTATCACGAGTATCGCGCGTGCATATTATTGTTGATAGCGATGTTGCTATTGGCAGCCACAGTAGTTATTTATTATGCAATAAATATAATATCTATTTTTATTATTGTGTAGTTTAATTTTCAGACTTTTCGAAAGTTTGTGGCATTCGCTACAACAATGACATAACTAAAAAAACTGCTATGTTTCAGTTTTTTACAAGAAAAAAAAGAATGGAAATATAAAGAAAAAAAGAAGATACATACTTTAAAAGACCACATTTGTATTCCTCTATAATTAATTATCATGCTACTTTAATTGCACTTTAAAATTAATATTGTAAATTTTAGTAATTCAAAATATTCAAATTCACATTCTAGAAAACTTTGTTTTTATCGTTCTGCTGCTGTCGTGACGAATTAACGATACTTGTATTGAATATCTACAATAATTTTTAATATGTACAAGAAGTATAATTAAGACGAGATTAAGATAATTATTTTGTTTTTTATAAAATCTGGGATTGCGAGTTAGACGGACATTGGATGGGCAATTGGCGAAGAATGAACTGAAATTATCAGTTTAGTTAATTTTTTTGTCAAGGGAAATAAGGCACTTCGTCTTTATCTTTTTTTTAATAATCTAATCAGATTATTAAAATTAAAATTTAAGTTTAATTTTAATTAATTAAGATTAAAATTTAATAATCTAATCAGATATTATAATCCGTTATTAGAGGAATTGTCATTCGATTGGAATTAAATCTGTTATTGGAGTAAAAATTACCCATTTCTTATAGTGATTTATCAAATAAATTCAAACTAAATATATAAATTAATAATAATTAACCTAATAAGCCTATCTGAGCCAAACACAAGATATTTAAAAACTACGATTAATTACGATTAATATACATGTAATTGTTTAATTCTTTAATTTTTAATTCACACAATAAATATCTTGTGTTTGGCTCAAATAGGCTTATTAGGCTAATTATTATTAAGTTTTATTCTTCTAAGCTTTGAACATTACTTATATTTAAATATATAAGTATATCTAGATTAATTCCACGTTTTTTTCATTAGATTTAATTTCTCTCAAAGACAACTGAATTGATCGTTTTTAATCGATTGTGTGACAGACTTATATCATTACTTTAGCTCATTTCAGTTGTTGAGCAGATTATTCTTCTGGTTTATTCAGTTATGAAACTAATTTCTGTTTTTATCTCGATTAAGTAGGTTAATTGAAGCCGTTTAGTAACTATATGATGATGCAATAAAATTCCAATAAACAAACGAGTCCAAACGATGGTTATCATTTTTTTAAATTTAACGATAATTATCAAACAGTTTAATCCTCAATAATATTTAATAACAGTAGGTTGCGTGCAACAATAGAGATGTATACAAAACATATATTAACAAATAGAATAAATAAATATTTTATGTTTCTGATATATGATATCGATATGAAATTTACGTTAGATTAAAAAATATTTATAAAATTAAAATTTTATCAATTTAAATAAAATATTAGTTATTACATTTCTTTCGTTTAATCAAAAATTCGAAGTACATCGCACGTTTTGCACAAAACAGCTGTGCGACAGCGAGTTATTGCCATGCCGTTACTTCTTAACTTGTCAGTCACGTCACGTCGCGCAAAACTCGTCACTTTGCGGAAAGGATGATGACGATCGCGACGATCGCGGTACTTCGTTCCGTTTGATTTCCCGTCGAAGCTTCCGCGCACCGTTCACCGTCTTTTCGCTGCGACCTCCTCTAAGAAGTGCGAATCCGTTATGAGCAAGGAATTTATATCTCGCACTTGTACTCCACTAAGCGCGCCGCACGTGCACTCGTCTAACAACGAGCGCTACGCGATGCGACGAAACGAAACGTACGATCGCGCGGCGCGGTGCGCACTGATCTGACTGATCGCACGACGGTCCGGCCAGCGTTGACGATCGATCGTCAATGATCGAGCGATCGCGCGCGTGTGCGCGGCGACAATCACGCGGCCGCACTCGCGCCGGATTTTCGGAGCACTCAGCGTAGAGCGTACGCAAGACCCGCGTATCAGACTCGAGGATTGTCGGTACCGCTCGGCGATCTTCGGCAAGGCTCGCGCATCAGTACCGTAGTACATAGATCAGTGATCCATGAATCGCATGGATTCAATGGATTCTCGCGTGCTTCTTTTGAGCAGCTCTCGTATGAATTTTGTATAATTTTTTTACCTGTCTTTAAGAAAAGAAATGATAGGTTAATTATAAAAAATAATTTAATGACGCTGTTGCTCAAAACATTTAAGTCTTTTCTTATTAAACGTGTAATAATTTAAAATAGCGTATCGAGACACTATAAGATTATTAGAATTTTGAAGTAGCTGCTTAATTAAATAGATTACTTATATTATTAATTTATGTAACATCATTAAAATATGCATAAATATACTATAATTGTCGTTAATCTTGTAAATCAGATTTTTTAAATGTGATATAATTGCAAGATCATTTTATCTTTTCTTTAGCAATATTATCACAGTAAAATAAATTAAAGTAATGAACTGCATGTTTAATGCAATTAAAAAATGATTGCATCCATGTTTAAAATGTGGCAAAAGCAAATATTGTTATTGTTCTGGAATTTTTTTTCGATTAATACTTCCTGTATATAATATATATCTCTACAGCACAAAGTTGCACAAAAGTTGCAGCAACATTACATGTTGCAGCAATATTGCAAAGATTTTGCAGCGATATTGCTGCAAATTCTGTGCTGCATGGGTATAAATTTTCTATAAAATATTTACACGTCAGATTGTTTATGAAAGTTGCAGTTATTTGTTATTGGTAGTTTTTGCATAAGATTCTTTACGTATGTAACATTGTTCGTTAAATTTACACGTTAATATATATGTGCGTTTAATAGAAAAAATCAATTGTTCCACTTTACTCGATAAGATAAACCGAATTTTATTCAGTGGGTATTTTAATCAAGTACATAATAATCTGGTCTCCATTCTTCTGTCGGTATCGATTGATAACTGCCAATATTACGAAAATTTCTTTCGGACGTGTCTGTTGTTAAAATTGTATTTATAAAGTTTCATATTCCGCTTTTACTTGACTTGTAAATTTGTTAATTGAAAATACATTATTTAAACGAATACATGAACTAATCATTAAGTACTTAATATAATCCAATAACATATATAATTTACTTTTGAATATTTAGACAAATTTATATTTCTGGAAATGAAACTATATCCTTCTTTATAATAATATTATCTTTCTTTATTTTTTCATATTAAGTTTATTTTGGACGATCTATAATTTATATTAGATCTTAGCATAAAATTTTATTTAAAACATTTTTGTATGTGTGTATATTTTTATGTATATATGTGTCTATTTTAATATTAATTTTATATACAAGATTCTTAAATTCTTCTTTTTGTACATGGCTCATTAAAATATTAATAGAATTCTATCCTAAAAAAATTTTTGACACAAATTTTAAGATAATTTAAAGCAAGTATCAATCTCGGTTTTAAAATTTATTTTCAGTTTATGATATAAAGAACAATGTTCGAGTGAAAGTAACTTGCAGATTTCAAGATAAACTCAAGAAGAAAGAAATTTTAAATTATTTATAATTATACTTTTACTTTAACCACGAAATTATTGTACAAAAGCATAAACGTTCATATAAAAAATTTCTCTTTCAAATATGCTTCCTCAAAACTTTACTTTCTATTAAATGTTTGCAGCATGTCAGTTTTACAACTCAATGCATCGTTACAGTGATAGATGTGCGATTGATGAGAAATAAGAAAATTGCATGTAGCGTGTCCAATATCGTTCAGCAGCTAGTATTTCCGCATTCTTTCTTCATGGATTTCTCCGTTTCGTTCTCGTGCTCGAACGTTTTCGTAATCAAACTTTCTGCTGACTCCCACATATGTAATGCGACAATTCTTTTGTGTGTTATGCATTCGTCGCATTTTCGCAACATTTTATAGCAAAAACTTTAAAATTAATTATTCATTTAAATTAATTATAATTATCGATACACAGCACAGAATTTGCTGCAAAATCTCTGCAATATTGCTGCAACATACAATGTTGTTGCAATATTGCAGCAGTGTTACTGCAACTTTTGTGCAACTTTGTGCTGTAGGGGAATCAATTAAATAAATGTTGCGATGTGAGTTGTAATGCATTAAAAGACAACTTTAGATACATAGCGTTTAATTATTATTGGTATATATATCTTGACGGCAATAAAATATATCCGTTTTACTGTCACTTCTCTGAAGTATTGTTTGTATGAGAATATTAATTTCATTTTATATTAATAAATTGCAATATAAATCATTTTATTTTGGGATATATTAATTATTGAAAAACGATTACGAGTGAAAATACTTCAATTACAATATTTTGGGTGCTGCTTATTTGCAAACATATGTAAATCGTGCAACGTTTTTGCGCTTGTGTTTTTAAGAGTCTATTTAAAAAGTTATTTAAAGCATTGTAGTGTTATGCGTTGCATCAAGTAATATTGTAATAAAATTTGCAATATAAATCCATTAATAGAACTAACGTTTTGTAAAATGTCATAAATAGGGCAACCAAAATATATATAGGGCATGTTTTTTTTATTTGACTAATAAAGAAATAAACTAAATACAAATTTATTTCATAAGAAATTTGCATTTTGAACCTTATATGTTACAGCATATTTTTCATATTTCATACATAAGAGCATATTTTTGCATATTTCATATGCAAAAGCATATTTTTGCATATTTTGCACACACGTGCACAATATTTACATATTTTATCTATTTTTATTGTATACTTCATATCGTTTTCTAATTTAAGTTTGTAATTAATTTTTTCTGATATAATAATAAATAGGATTTCTGAGATAAGTTTTTCTCAATTAGAAATGTGCTACAACATATTTTATATTTTTGAAAAAGAAATTGATTAGATAAATGATTCCCACACGTCGCGATGCATTGGTGCGCAGCGATGTCAGAGAAATCACAAAAAGAAAAAGATTTTGCGTTCAATCTTCTATATTTCTGTGTCATACAATACATAACATCAAAGATTCTCTTTCTCTCTAGAGTCACTATAATAAATAATATGTATTTGTTTAATTTTAATGCTTCGTAACACTAATTAAATTTTTTAAGAATGTAAACAAATTTTATCAAATTCATTTTACTTTGTTATTATAAGTAAAAAGCTTAATTAATAATTTGAAAATTTGTGCGATAAAAAGTAATTTTTAAATGCATTTATTCCTTTCTTTAGAGCATTTTTTCAATTTCACAGAGCATGTTTTGGGCGCTTAAAAAGGGATTTTTACAGCATAATTTTAGTTGCCCTAGTCATAAACGTATACATATATACACGCATTCATACGTATATCTGTACGTGTAAGGTTGCGTTAAACTGTGCGTCAGAGGTAGGCAGGAATTCCGACATTCCTGTGCAGGTGAGTCTGCGGTGCTGATGTGGCACATTGGCCCCATTCGTTCTTCTCCGAACAACGCGTGTAAGGAACAGCAAAATTATGATTTCAGAGAAGGTTCCTCTTACAAAGTGGAGCATGATAAAATATGATACGTTCAATCGAGTCATCTGTTACCAAGAGGAAAACAAGAACGAAAACAGACAGTGAATAATATTGCGTCTCACTTTTACAAAGTTCATCAGTATAGGAAAAAAATTTTACTAGATTCAAGTAAATATATTAACTTGAAATCCATTTACTTGAACCAAGTAATTATTTATTTAAATCAACCAAGTTTTCGTGCTTTCAAAAAAATATTTATTAGGTTTCAACTAATTCATTTCCTTAATAAATATTTCCTCACATTAAGAAAACGTGCTTTTGAATCTAGTAATATTTCCTTAAAACTGACAAATGATGTTCTTAGATGTAAAAATTGTATTCATTTAAAAGTAGTAGCCAATTTTAAATAAATATTTGTTTAAAATCGATTGTTAAATTACTTCAATCAAAACAATATTTATTTCATTCATAAAAAAACCAATGTACTAATATTGGGACACTAAAAGCAAGAAATTAATTACTTACAATAACGAAATATTAATTTTGTTGTACTAAATTTTTCTTTCGCTTAAGTTATTTATTTACTAAAACATCTTAACTTCATTAAATATTTGAAGCATATATTTACTTGATGAAAGTAAATATTATTTTGAATGAAAAAAACGAACACTTTGATTTTTGAAAAATCAATTACTAAATCATTTATTTGTTTGAAGAGGATATCAAGTTGATTCAAAGCGTTGGTGTTTTACAACGAAGAATATATTTCTTTGTTATTGATAAATAAATATTAACTTGAATCAAAAAAAGATATCAATAATTTTGATATAGAAAATATTTATTCTTATGCAGTAAACAAATTACTTAGTATCTATAAATATATGTAATACATATTTACTTAAATAAAAGTAATCGTTAATTTCGATTTTGAAAATATTTATTTCGATTCTAGAAAATATATTAGTTTCGATTTAGGAAATCGAATTAGGATATTTCGATTTAGGAATACTTGTTTTAATCCTAGAAAATACATTATTTAGTATCAATATGTTTACAAAATATTTATTTATTCTAAGAAAGCAATTGTCCTCATTTAAGCTTTGATTTTTTAAAACCAACAACATACTTTTTCGTATTGTATAGCGAAAAATCTCGAAGGAGGGACCCGCGCGACGCCTTGCGACTCTTTCTTTTTAATCTTCCTTTGCGATTCTTTATTTTTAATAAACGCGCTTACATGTTCGGCTCATTTTTGAGCCTTCTTCAGAGACAACATACACTCACATATATAAAATGTAACAAAAATTAACTTGTCATGATGAGCTCCCCCGCATCGAGAACGACAGTCAGTGTCGCTCGAGAGTCTTTCTGGCGTGATTTTAGATTATTTTCCAAATTTCCTTTCTTGGATTTGATTAACTTTTTAACGTTAGTTTTCTCATTGCTACCTCAATACAAACTAACTAAATCTAAAATAGGAACTCGCTGTGTCTGACACTGACTGACCAACATATCAGAAACCGGTTTTTGAATTATTAATAGTAATGTTTGCGATATGATGCCTTGTGATCCGGGTGAGCTTCTTAATTTTCGGGATAATTAATTTTAATTTTAAAGTTTTCTGATACATTAGTTTTCCATTTTTTCTATTTTGATATTTTCAAAATTTCTTTTCTTTTTTTTTTTCTTTTATTTTTATCCGAGTTTAATTTTGACAAATATTCTCGATGCGGGGGAGCTCATCATGACAAGTTAATTTTTGTTACATTTTATATATGTGAGTGTATGTTGTCTCTGAAGAAGGCTCAAAAAATGAGCCAAAACATGTAAGCGCGTTTATTAAAAATAAAGAAGTTTTACGCTTTATAGTAGTATTATTTGTAACGTCTTCCTATTGCTCATGTTCTTTCCTAGTTCTTTTGACTTATAAGGAGTCTTTGTTAGTTTGATTTGTTATACGGTCTAAAATCTTTTTTTACAATGATTACAAGTATGATCTAATAATGAATTTTCCACTATAAATAGCTTTCAATCCAAGAGCAATAAATTCATGGTGGAACGAATAGATAGCGTTTATTAGTTTAGCAGAAACGCCGCTATCTCATATTAGGCGCCTATCTCATAATAGGGGCTTTCCTCTATATATAACAAAAATTTATAATTTTAAATGATATATTTTACTGTAATAATATTGATGATTCAGATTTAAAAATTATTTTATTGAAACGTCCCTTGTAAGTGAATTAATAAACATTCATTTCATACATATTTTTAAATAAAATTATCTTTTTATATATATAATATATGAATTTACAAGTAATGAATTTATAAATTTTTAATAGATTTCTGGTTACATGGTAAGACTTAGACAAGAAACAAAATCAAGGGCGATAGATCTGAAACTTCCGCAATCCACTTTCTTGATCTTTGTGGATTTCTTGATCTATTGAAGATGTACAAGACGTTTATGTCTGTGTGGATAATGAGTTGTATAAAGTTCAAGGAGTTCTACAAGGCTTAGACATTTGCTTTGAGATTTTTCATGTATTCAATCTTAAGTATCCTTTAACCAGCGAGCACTTATGGACATTAATACAAAAAGGACTCTACAATGTCAATTTATCCTCTGATGTGCATATCACATCTATTGAACATGCGATCAAGCAGCTCACTAAAAGGAATACTGCAGAGGAGCAAACGTCGGATCGGAAAGTAACATTTATTTTAAACTAAAAACAAGAGCGAATATATTATGTTACGTGAATACCTCTTTGGCTAGAGTTTATTTTTCAAATAAATCTTGAAATTTTAAATACACATTATATACTCGTACACAAGTATCTATTATTTAGAGATTTAGATGTGTATACTTGCTGTTTTTTTTATTATCTTGTATTATTTAACGTTTAATATATATACATATAAATATCTTTGGTCTCGAGTTTATGGTACACACAATCATTATCTCGCTATATATATTCATAGATTATCTACAGTTAGTTTGTTCACATTGTTGTTACGCTACGACGATTTGGCAACGCATCAAGGAACGAATTAATTGCAATTGCGCGTCAATCTCCACTTCAATTAGATGATCAAATTGCGATATGTGAGACGAGTAATGTTGATGTAATGTTGGGAGGCAATGAAATATATATACAATCATTGTACGTGTATCTATTTATTTAATTGCAATTTTTGTTCTGGGTATAAATGTATTCTCACATTTCTTAGCAATTATTAATATTATTAATTTTACATATAATGCTTATTTAATATTCACCTGTATTACACATAATTTTTTTATTCTGAAATAATTCAAATTGTCAGATTTTTTTATGTATTGATTATGATCTACCTACAGACTTTGAACCGCGATTAAATTTACATACGCTGTAAATCCGTGTAAAAAATGACAACAATATATATATATATATATGTGTGATTGATTTCCATGTAAAAACAAAATACTATGCTGCATACAAAAATAAATTTACACATTTTAACATAATATAGTATAATTTAGTGTTATTTTCATATGAAAAACTATTCATAGGTATGCATATATTTCAGTCACTTTTTGTACACTTCGATTTACAGCGTATGAAATCGTTTGTAATAACATTATACATGGTACTGTATAATCAGTACAAGATCGAGAATCGCGCTCCCCACCTCTGATGCTAGAGTAATAAACTCGCCGGCGATCGGGAAGCGTAGAATCGTGATTACTAGCTACAGTCAGTAGACAGTTAGCTCGTACACGAAGCGGATTCACATCTCAATGTCGGTCGATCAGGTATTTTGCTTTATTTTCACGCGAAAAGTATAGATTAATTAAAAGGAATTAGTCGGCGAGCATTCACTTTGTAAAATTAAATTGTACAGAATTAAATAATTTAAGGAATTAGAAATTCAATAAATGTTTGGCGATTATATACAAGGCATAATGGGATTATTAAAATGTATAAATAAAATTATCTAATTTTGTGAGAAAAACAATTAGAAAAAGGAATAAAATAAAGTAGAGAAAAGTCAGAAATTATTATCTCAATTCCTGATTTTGAAGATTAAGGTTTATAAATTCGCAAAATAAGAATTTTTGTGTCGTTTAATTCCTTTTAATGCGTTTCTTACAGATTTTTTTAATTAATACGTAGAATATTTGTGTTCAGTGTTATCGTATTGTTTGTTTCAATTTGTATGTTTGCGAGGCCGTGAAAAGGTTGATAGACGAATGTCGTCTATGACTTGCCTATAACGGGATTTTCTGCGGTTGATCTTATGTTAGAAACGGTATATACATTGCATTACACATTTAAAAACACAAAGTATCTCAGACTTTCAAATTATATCTCTATTTATTTATATATATTTTTAAATTAGAATCAAATTACACGAAATTTATTTCTCAATTAAAACAGATCGAGCAAAGCTCGATTGAGAAATTTATTTTTCGATTAAAACACTGAGACATTCGACTATATTAAGTCATAAATATGATTGAAAATAAAGAGCATATTTTTTTGGAAAATTTGATTCTAGGAATGCAAATCTTACTCTTCATTTAATCGGGTGAATTATAATATAATTTGAGAATTAGTTAGAGATATGTAATATAAAAAGTTGACAATTTGGTCAAATAAAATTCTATTTAATTTTCATTGGAGGAAATTAATTCGAATAGCTATATCTGTCATAAGCTACCTCGAAAAAAGAAACAAGTTTATGTCGTTCGACCCTGATTTACGTATCGTGATAAATTTTGTGAGGTGGGGATTAGCGGTTTTAACTTGTGCAAACATTCGATCGACGGTCACAAAGTACTTATAATATCTACAGTACAGTCGTGCGATCAACTATAAAGATGTCTCTCGATCAGGTATCGTGCAGATATCTTTTTTTATTTTTCATTGTGACGATTCATGTATAAAAAATGTATTATTAATGCTGTATACATAAAGACTGCAGTTTTCATGTTTTATACATAAAAAATGCATTCTTTAGTCGCATTTTGCCGAAGTTTAAAATTATAGACTACATCAAAAAGATGTCGACGGATTGATTAAAACGGAAATAAGCCGCGAAAATTGACTGGCGACACAGCATACTAATTTCATTGATTGCAAGCTGTGACCATGCACAATATTATCGTATGCATTTCTCCGAAGAGAAATTTGGGACAGACAGTAGATTATCATTTAATCGGGGTGTATTCGGCTGAAGAAAGTTCGGAAGTTCCAACAAGAAATTTTGAACTTGTTCAGTGCAATCTTAATTAAAATTATAATTAAGATTGTATAAATAAATTTATATGACTAAATATTACGAATTACTTGTATAATTGCTGATATTAATAATTTTAAGTGTATGATTTTTGGCTTGTAAATTTAAATTTAGTTAATAATAAAGATCACTTTTAAAGAGCTTATTGCAGAGTCATCCATGACTCAAAGGTCATTTTCGTAGCCTTTTCTGAGCGTAATCAATATTTATAAGATAATATACATAATTTAAGCTGTAGAGATACAGTAATAAATAACAGTGTTTCTGACGAATACTCTTTTTTAACATTTTCTTATGCAATATTATAATTATATGTAAATAATAAAATATTACTAATATGTACTAATATTACTATTATAATACATACAAATATTATATTATTTTAAAATAATAAAATTATACCTTTCTTATAGCAATTTGAAGGGGCTGCAGAAGCTGTAAAGGCGCTTACAAAGCGTCCTACTGACGAGGAGCTTTTGGAGCTTTACGCTTTATTCAAGCAAGCTACAGTTGGCGACAATAACACGTGTAAGTTCCTATATTAATGTCATGAAATTACATATCTAAAGATTTTTTAAAGATTTAATATTAAATTTCACGTGTTTATGTACATTGATATCATACCGGTAAAAAATTTTTCATATATAATCATATATAACTATACAAAATTATATACAAATATATATAATTATGTGTAATTTATTACGATTATATATAATTTAATAAAATGCTGGCTCATTTATATATATATATA